GGGAAAGAGAATCAAGGATGACAAAAAAAAAAAAGCAAAATATACAGGACATAAGAAATGGAAAATTATTTGTTGATAACACGTATGTTGATGTGCTTGATTGAGCCAATATACAGTGTATTCTAGATGGAAAATTCATTTTGTATGCTGTAATGATACGTAGTGAATTAATGTAAAAAAATAAATTTAAAGAAAAAAATTAGTATAGACCTGGAAAAATGGGTAAAGGTGTGAATGGTTAACGAAGGTTAGTTTCATGTAGTAATAATTAAAGGCTTCAAGATGGACCTAGCTGATTTGTTGGTTACACCAGGAACTTTGAGGAGAGAAATGTAAAAAACTAAAATTAAAAATCAAGCAAATTCCATGATAGACTAATCCCCTGAGTTAGAAAAATTATCAAGAACTATAAACAAAGGCAAACAAGTCAAACTAGGAACATCTGGCCATACATATACCAAAAGTTCATAAAACTGGGTAAGAAAAAGTACAATGGAAAAATACCTTGTCTCATATTTATCGATTCACAGAAAACACACACACACACACACACACATACATAAATAATTCGATAGACATGAGAGAGAAAAATAGACATTCTTACAGTTATTAAGAAACAGGAGGGCTGGGGTCGGCAGGCGGCATGGTGGTTAAGGACGCTGGACTCCCACACGACTGACAGTAGTTAAGTCCCTGACCTAACGACTTGCTTTCTCACTTTCTCTCTCTCTCTCTCTCTGTCCCTCTCTGGTCAAATTAAAATAAATAAAAAATTTTATTAATTAGTTAATTAATTAAAATAAAAATAATTCTTAAAAAAAAAATAGTACCAGACCAGTCAAGCCAGTCATGGTGGTTAAGATGGCTGGATCCCACATGGCCAAATACGTGGTTGGAGTCCTAGATTCAGCAGCTTGAAAATCACACCCAGGGAGTGTGTGTGTGTCCAGAATCTCAGGAGGAGAATGGATTACAGTGTGACCATCCCCACTAGGGGGTGATTTCTCACTTTCCTTCTCTGTCTCTCTCCGGTACACACACCCAATGGCCAAAACCTGAAAAGAAAAGAAAAAGAAAGAAAAATAAATAGGGCCAATTAGAGTTCAGCAGTATGGATCTGGATCCCACATGGCCACCTGAGGTTGCAATCACAGCCACTGGCAACTTGGAAAAACATGCTGAGAACATACGCGTGTGTGCCCAGAATCTTGGCATGGAGAAAAGGAGGAGGAAGGATGGCAGTGCAACAATGCCTCCCTGGGAGTGCTTTCTCTCTCTCTCTTTCTCTTTCTCTCTCATGAATTTACATGCCCTCTGGCAATAAAAGAAAAAACAAAAATTTTAAAAGAATAGAAAAAATAGCATTTTTTGTTATTAAAAAGCAAGCCAAAAAAATTGAAACAATTAATTTTGGAGATAATTGCTTGTGCGAAGTCATGTAGGAAATATATTAAGGACTTTCTAATTTTACATAACCTTTGGAATCCTTGTCTTAGAAAATAAACTGTAATGGGACCTGCAGATGTATAGTGGTCTTGTCACTGGACTCAGACATAATCAATCGTGGTTTAAGATCTGGACCTGGAAGCTTAAAACTCATGTTGGGTGGGACTAGCAGTTGGCATAATGGCTATGTCGCTGGACTCCCATGTGGTCGACTGCAGTTCAAGTCCTGGACCCAGTGGCTTAAATGCACACTGGACACATGTGCATGAGCGCCCAAGATCCTGAGAGAAGAATGGAGAAGAAGGGATTGCAGTGTGGCCATCCCCCCGGGGGGTTATTTCTCGCTTTCTGTCTCTTTGTCTCTCCTCTGTCTTTCTGGTGAGTGCACATGCCCTAAAGCAAAAATCTCTAAAAAAACAAAAAACAAAAAACAAACCAAAAAAAACCCTCATGTTGGGCGCACATACATGCATGCCCCAAATATCCTGGGAATGGAGGAGAAGGGATTGCAGGGTGGCCATACCCTCTGGGGAGTGATTTCTCACTTGTCTCTCTTTCTCTCTCTGTCTCTCCAATGAGTACACAAGCCCTATAGCAAAAATCTTTCTAAAATAAATACATAAAACAACACTGCCAAAAAAAATAGATGTAGATAAGTAGATCACTAGAATAGAAATGGAAATTTGTAATCCTACATTTAACTTGTGTATTTAATGTATTTCTTTACGGCATTGTGGGTTACCCTCTTTAAAGTTCTAATCTCATAAACTAAGGTGTACAGAAAGAAATGTAGACTGCAAATTGTGTATGTAAGAGAAACGGTCAAAAGTACAAGGATGTTTAGATAAAGAAGGTATGTCTCAGAGGAAATTTCTTATCTGGAATATAATAAAAGGAATCTGGTAGTATTCATTACTCCTGAAGTGCAGAAATACAATTTATTGGGAAGTAGATCCAAAGTCACCCTGGTATTCTTCCACCGTATTTTGGGCAGATACAAAAGCAAACAAACAAAAACAAAGATGGGGTCATCGTATTATAGTGGAAGGATATCTTTGGGATAGTTCAATCCAGTCCTGTTATCTTGCATAAGGGAGCCTAAAAGTCACACATCAGTTTACAACTGCCAAACTGCCTAAAAGACTTTTCTTTTTAAAGCTTTTCACTTGTACTTTTTGTTTTAAGGAAAATTGTAGTACAGTGAAAGAATTGAAGAAAGAAATCAGGGCAAGAATGTTAATGATTAACGAATGAAGTATTAAAAGGAAATGGTAGCTTTCCAGCCTCGGCTCCGGACCCTGCATCAAAATTTCTTTTAGAACTCAAACATTATCTAACAATACATGATTTGATTTCCAAATATATAGAATTCTTAGCTAAACTCTGGCAACCGATTTGTGACTTTACCACACCAGGGATATAAGATATAATTTAGCAAGCCTTCCTTTATGACTGTATGGATTGTTTCTGTAAATCTTTTCTGAAGACCCAAAATGAAAGTGACTCTTTGGACCAGCTGGTGGCATGGTGGTAAGGAGGCTGGTTGTGTCCCGAATTGTCGAGTTGTCACTCTTGTGGCCCAAATCTCCCCGAGCCACTCCCCTTCCTGCCCTTTGCCCTGATATGCCCTCGCTAGTGTAAATCACCTCTCTTGAAAATACACAAAATCTTTCCATAAAATCTCCTGAAATCGTACGATGTATGTATGCATTGCCTGGTTTCTATATTTTCTCCAAATGCTGCCTGAAGCCACTAGATTTGCTTTCTTTTTTTAAAAATTATTTATTTAATTTTATTTATTCATTCATTTATTTTTTTAAAGAATTATTTTATTGGGACCAGCAGTTAGCATAATGGCTATGTCACTAGACTCTCACGTAGTCGACTGCGGTTCGAATCCCAGATCCGGTGGCTTAAACTCATGCCGGGCGCGTATGTGTGCGTGCCCAAGATCCTGAGAGGAGAAGGGATTGCGGCGTGGCTATCCCCTCTGGGGGGTGATTTATCGCTTTTTATCTCTCTGTCTCTGTCTGTCTGGCGAGTGCACGCGCCCTATAGCAAAAACCTCTCCAAAAAAAGAAAAGAAAAAAAAGAATTATTTTATTTAACTTTATTTATTATTATTATTATTACTATTTTCCAGTTTGATCAGAGAGACAGAGAGAGAGAGAGAGAGAGGAAGTGAGAAAGCAAGCCACCAGGTCCAAGACTTGAACCGTGGTCGGACATGTGGGAGTCCAGCGCCTTTAACCACCATGCCACTTGCTGGCCCCCATTCATTTATTTTTTACTTTGACCAGAGAAAGACAGACACACAGAGAGAAAGAAAGTGAGAAAGCAAGCCACCAGGTCGGGGACTTGAACCATGGTTGGCCATGTGAGATTTTCCAGCACCTTAACCACCATGCCATTGACTGGCCCCTCCACTAGATTCACTTTCAATATACCTTAAGATATTTAATTAATGTACTTAACAAAATAAATATGTGATATATACTTGGGGCGGGAGATCGCACCAAAACTGCTGTAGGGAAGGAGTGGCTTCACCCGGTAAGCAGAGTCACCAAAGGACACTGCTCAGATGCAGGAGGAGCTTTGGGGTCCCTCAGCACCCCGGGGCACTGACTCCAACCC